TTCCGGTATACTTTGGTTACGAATGAATTATTCTTAGCTTGGACGACTATATCTAAAAAGGGCAAAGTACGATTTCGGCCGAGCTCGTATGTAAACTCCAAGACAGAATTCATCTCAAAGGCCAGTCGCAGATTCCTCAGCTGTTCTTCATCTCGAACCACAACGAAGATATCATCTACATACCTGCAGTATAATTCAGGCTTGATCTGTTCATCTGAAAGCACTCGATTTTCGATTTCGCATATATAGTATTCAGCAAAAGTAGGACCAAGGGGACTGCCCATGGCTAAGCCGTTGGTTTGTCGGTAAATTTTGTTGTCATGAGCCCGGAAAGGTGATTTAGAAGTGCAGAGTCGAAGGAGATCGATGAGAATAATTTATCTCAGATAAAAAATAATTAAATAAATTAAAATAACTGCTCATTAACACCATAATGAGAGTTCTATAACGCTATAATAACAGCTCATTAACGCCATAATGAGAGTTCTATAACGCTATAACAACAGCTCATTAACGCCATAATGAGAGTTCTATAACGCTATAATAACAGCTCATTAACGCCATAATGAGGGTTCTATAACGGCAAATAGTTAATAAACGCTACAATAACTGCTAGCATCACGAGGTAACATAACCAAAATTTATCCCGGCAATATATATTTCTAGCAGTTTTAACAGTTTCAGCAACATAAAATGATTTTAATGGTTTCAGCACTGCTGCCTCCCTTCTTCCTCACCGCCCCCAGATCTTTCCACCGCCCCTAGGGGGAAGTACTGCTGCTTTAGACGATAAATAATATCGCAAACACGTAAATTTTCAGAGATAAATAATTCTACCTTTGTAACGTTCTATTACCTAATGCATACACATAGCAAATATTGAATATATGATGATGTTTACTGCTTTTGAAAACGTGTATTTCCTTGCTATTATGTGAAACACAACTATGCGAGGATAACACATGATGAATTCAATTTATCACATTGATTAATCAGTATTAGCGGTTTCAGCGTTTAGTAGGCCGTAGGCCTGTTGCCGATTCTTAACATCGCAGAACATTCACAGCATATTGTGCGGTCTCAAACTCGCAACTCACTGCTACAAATTTGCTGTGCTTAACCGCCCGGCCTCCTCGCCGATTCTGACCAGAAACTGACGCACAGAGCCGGGATCGAACCCGCACCTCTCTGCGCCAATCCTGGTACTCTGAACTTTAACCACTGGGCCACCCTGCCCTGTTGGAGCTTGTGATCAAGTAGAGGAAATAGATTTATTTTATTGCTATGAACATAACTTTCAAGTTGTAATGTATTATGTTTAAGATTTTGGCTTATTATTTTCAGTTTTCAATCAGCAAGCTGTGACCTCTAGCAGCAGTGTGTTCTATTTGTGATTGTATCGGAAAATCGGGAACGCAACCATGCACCACCAAATTTGTGCACCAATCAGCCTTGAAAGGAACGTCTAGCATATTTCTGGATGACCACCAATCAGCCGCGGATTAAGCAATCCGTCAGTAAGTAGCCCATGGCAACAGGCCATGGGCCTATTTCTTCAATGCCGACCTTCTATTCTATTCTATTCTATTCTATGACATCATCTTGCTTTAAATATTAGCTTTACGCCACCATATTCTGAAGTGAATACCCCAGATGTGTAATGATCGTCAATTAGTGAGAGTTACTTCGAATCATAACTTCATACCCTGACTTTAGCTCGAACTGTAACTAGCGGACAACGAACTGCGACCACTCAGCCTAGCTCGGCAGTGGAACTTCGTGAATCCTGCCGTGCACCACCAGGGGTTGCCTGCCGAAGACCACCACTGCCCTGGATGTAATGGACCATCATGATTCCTGCCTTCCGGAACGTAGCCTTCAGCACTTCAAGCCGTCCGTGTCTAGGCCGTGGGTCGAACCAGCCCTCGATCGGTCGAACGGCCACTTGTCGAAGGACAATAAATTTTGGAACAGAACTATGTTATCTGAAACCTAACCTCCGATGCGGTGAACGTAAAATTACGTAATTTAACGATGCCTGGAAGTCATATTCGATCCGCGGCCTGGTGGTGCACGGCAGGTGGTGGTCAAGGCCGGAAGAGGACAAAGCTGAGTGGTGCACGGCTGATTGGTGTAGGTCCGGAGAGATCCAAGGCATTCGATTCAGGGCTTATTGGTGCACAAAATTGGTGGTGCACGGCTGCGCTCCCCACCACCAGACGGTCACTTTTGGCTCACAACATCTGGGGTTAGGTTCAGAAAGCATACCTAGTTCTGTTCCAAAATTTATCATCCTAGTACGAGTTGTCGTTCGACGGTACGCTGATTCGACACACGGGGCAGATGCGGACATGGTTGAATTAATAAATAAATTAATGTATTAATTCAACCATGTTGAATTATTGTATTAATTCAATCATGAGATACGGACGGGTCGGTGGCGGGTATCATATTCACTGCAAGGCTCCGGCGCGCTCCGTCCGGGTGGTGTAAAATTTTTTTCTATCATTTGCAGACGATGCTGGGCCATACTACGTCAGGCTACTTTCCTGTGGGCCGATTGATCCAATTCAATGGATGTGATCTGTCTGGTGACTTGCGGCCGATAATGTTACAGTCAAGAAGTGTTATAGGCTACGTTCTTCAGGGAAGTGACCATGATAGTCCATGGATGTGAGCGAAAATTACTTCCAAAATGCCTATTGTAGCGTCATTATATGCTTAACTCATATAAAATTACTATTATATCAGTGGTGGTCCCCGGCAGGCGGGCCCTTTAGAAAAATTTGTTTACTGATGTGCCTCTTCATGAAATCATTGAAATTTGTATGATTTCTCTGTTTAAGGATGTAAATGACCTCGTTATAGGTTTGAAACGTATTTTTCAAGTAATTCTTTCACGAGGTTTTTTGGCTGTCCAATTGCCCTCTTCATTTTAAGCCAATATTCTACAAAAGATACGTTGACACTTTTTCAATTTTTAAGCATCCCTCTCACGTCAAACTCATCTTCGATATCCTAAATTCGCAACACAACTCCATCAAATTTACTAAGGAACTTGAATCTAACAATAGCCTATTCTTCCTCGTTGAGGTAGCTCAAGAAAAAGACAAACAGAGAGATCTCCTGAAGTAGCATACTCGATCTGTCTTCGCAGCGCAGATTGGTGTTAATGCTGAGACAATATAACTTCGATGGCCGCGGCATGGAGTATAGCAGAATTATCATCATGCGAGAGCAACCACAATTGATAGCAAATTGCACAGGTGTGTAAAGATACATTTGTTATTTATTCAACTTGACCATACTTGATCATATCACTTTTATGTGAGAACAATCGAGATTTATATTGAAGAGTACACTAAATGTCAAAGGGATTTGCAAAAGAATTACGCAAAATCTATCGTTATCTATTATTTTCCTTTTAAAAAGAGAAGGAGAAATACAATACAATAATGAAAAATATATTTTATTATACAATCTACAAGTTACAGAATTAATTCTACAGTCTTAAATTACACAACAAAACGTGTTTTAGCCGTGCGATCCAAAAATTTGAAAATTGAAAATAAAATAAATCTGTCGAAAACCTCATGATTGATTGCATGAAGATTTCATCAATTTGAATGAATTTAGTCGAGGCGGAGGAACTGAGCTCGTATTAACATATTCGTAAAATTTATTAAGGAATTTAGAAGGAATTGAGAGTAATATTAGGCCTGGTCAGTATGGTGTGTGGATGAGCTAATCAAGAAGTGGTGGCGTAGCACAATCTAAATGATGAGCAAATTCAGGAATACAATGATACGGACAAACAGGGGAGCTGACTCAAGAGAAATAAGTATGAGGAAGCCGTCACTCACAATCCTCACCAGACGGCCAGCACTGCGACGAGAGGCGTGAGCAGCGCCACTTGTGAGGCTCTCAGGGACAGGCTCACAAGAGCTCCATGGTCAGGTCAGACGCGCTGAAACAACGAATAAAATTTATATTCTTTTGGCACACGGAGACAGAAATAGTAAATCATCTATATTCAATATCCTGGCAGCAAAAATTGATCATCAGATTATGAACTATAATAAAGCTACTTAACTTGAATTATTCCACTATGGTCGATGCATTGCACCTTTATTATTATTTCACTATGGTTCTAGAGCACCTTTTTAACTTCACCCTAACTACAGGCGATACATTCTAGGGGGACAATCAAGATTAAACTAAACTATAATTATAGTCTTTCAATCGTTTTAGTTTGGCCTAAACAGTTTAATGAAGCATCGTTTTAAACGCAGACATTGAGAACTCACCCGTGGCAAGATTGTCTTCTCAACTGTCGAGGAGAAGTGAGTGAGTTACCGCCCTCCAGCGGCGAGTGTGCAGGAGAGTGAAGCATTAGTACATCACAGTGTTATGCCAGCTCTGTTTTCAAAGCTGATACATACGAATACATCCATATACTAATTATGTTCCATTACTTAATACAATACACCAGTCATACGGCTGCTGAACTAGCAAGTAATGACGCTATCCCAGCTAGAGTAGATTAAACTTCAAATATTCATTCAAGTTATACAATCATGAACAGCAACTAATTTTCCAAATCGTGGAGCTGGAGTAAATTAAATGAACACGATAAATTAACTCTCTGTACGCAATAAACAAGTCTGACATTTTTGTAAACGCTTTGATTAAACAGCTTCCATTGATCAGCTGTTTGGCGGTGCGGAAGCATATAAAAACGCAAGCGTATAAGGATTGAACTGGAAATAAGAACGTCCGCACACTATCATCTCATCAACAGAGTCCTGCACTTGGCTGAAGCATTCTCCTACCCGCACTTAGGGCCGAGCTGGAATATGAATTTGAGTCATCATGGACAGGAGAAGTAAACATTAAAGCCTAAAAAGGGTAGAAAGAATTGAATGCCAATGAAAATATGCTTACGTGACACCTCACAAAATGAAGTAGCATATCATTATTATCACAAAATTTATTGGACGTGACAAGCAATGAATAATTACAGTGCTACATATATCGTTCATCAATGCTTAGTTTATTGGACAAAAACAATTGGCTGAAACTGTGTTAGTGATGTTGGAAGAATCTCACCTGAGCTCCCCGAGCCGTCATCAGAGCCACCACCATCACTCTCTTGATCAGCTCACACATCACCATCACACAGGTCGCCTCCAGCCTCATAATTTGAATGAATGTTCACTTCCAGGATTACAGGAGCTTCCTGTTGAGCAACTCGACAAAAATCATGTACAACATAATATTAAATCATTAGTGAGGTTTTCCGCAAGAGAAAAATTATACATAGGGAAAAACTTTCCCTTATAATGGCCAACAAAAGATGGCTTCCCTGAATATCAAGCTGCTCTTGATACACTGGCAAATTGGGCGAGGTATGGCAAGTTATTTGAACGCTGGATGCAGAAGTGACCAGTTCAACGAACGAGTTCATAACGGTTGAAAGGAAACAACCTGAGACGTCATTAGACGCTGATGCAAATTCATTAAAATTTGTGAAAAAATGAGGACCGAGAAATAGTAAATGTAAAAGGCGCGTAAAGCCAATAAGAACATGACCACGAAAAATAGGGAGCGAGAATGTTCATGAGAAAACGCAGCCATGCCTACTACGCAATGTAAGCGTACTGACTCAAAGCAGGAGACCAAAGATCAGAAAGTCAGAAATGATGTGCTTTGAGGCAGTCTTGCATGGATTCATACCATCGATAACGCTTTAAATTGAAAAGTAATTGTAATCTACTAGAATATATATATGATCAAAGGGTAAAAATTTATTTTCTTCTAAAGAAAGAAGGACGGTCAGAACAAAAGCATAAGGTTGCGGCGTTCTGATGCTATATACATTCAAGCATGCCTATTAACTGTACAACACTGGCCATGGCACAACAAATCGTCTATGTCATTTTCACCACACTAAACTCCAAAACCTCCGGCAACAAAACGGCAAATCAGTTTTCAACGCAAGCACTTAATTCATTAGCCAAACGGTAAACATCAATGGAATAAATGTGAAATCAAACGCATTTAGAAATAGCTACAAAAAATCTCGATGTATAAAAATGCAGAAGCCAGGAATACTTTGGCTGAATTCATTAACTAAATATAGCTGGTGCTCTAATGTTCCACCTTTAGATTAGAAATAATTATGGGTGAATAAGATCCGAACAGCGAAACACGAACCAAATATCTCACGCATATTAAAGGTTCTTCTGATTAACTGATAACAAGACTAGATGCTATACAAATAACACATTATTGTATAAACAAACCAAGTGGAAGTGAAAACGTATGAGTTATAGTAGAGCAAACACAAATAGATATTGAGAACCGAAAGTACACAGGAAGAAAAAAAAAAAACAAAGCAGATATTAAGTTTGCAGAAGCTACGTTCTTATTTAGCCTTGATTTCACATCTGATATTGTCATTTCGAACAGCGTTTACGTTGTGCACCGAAGTGAAAGAATTTATAGCTGCACTGGGGAAGGAGGAACGTTTTGTGCGCATTGTTCATCACTACGTTAATGGGAAATAATAGGCAACTAAGACAGGTATCTAACATCTGAAATGCTTGTTGGAGGTAAACGGGTTCAAGAAACAAGCACCCCCACTCCGTAGCCCACGCTATGGGAAGTTAGTTGCACTGAGCTACAATGCGGGTACGGATTACCAGTGATATGCAAGAAGCTCTACATCAATCAGTAGGTAGGATACCTCGTTAAGTTCAGGAACTAATTACTAATACCACATTTTACCGTAACACATGACAAATTCATCTGAGAACATAAATCAGTACAAAGAAAGCGGAAAAAAGTTTGTAAAACTCCCATGCGACTCGAGCATATCCAGTTGTTGTGAAGGCGTAATTTACAGTAACGCAAACAAGTCACTAAAAACATGCGTGCCAAGGTTGACCAGCCACTGAAGGCTCGACGGACACCAACACACAACGTTTCAAACATAAACCGCACACTTACACCAGTACACTTGCCTTTGAATTATTGCTGTGAGAACATGCTGATTTTAACGCATCTTGCTTGAATTTCCTACTGATGGATCAATTTACAACGCTCGATCACGGCCCATCCATCAAACGTATGAAGTTTTTCTAGCCATCATCCTTTGTACACACAGTACACAAAAGATGATGATCCAGATTTTTTTGCTCATTATTTACCACCCTCTTCAATTAACACCATCACCATATCAATTTCCTCCGTAACATCACACTCCAGGATACATGGGCTTCTCAGTTCATTCAAGCCCTGGCATCATCCATCACTTCATCTGCATCACTCGCTTGCTCATCAACACCACACGCCTGTTCATCTACACCACACGCCTGTTCATCTACACCACACGCCTGTTCATCTACACCACACGCCTGTTCATCTACACCACACGCCTGTTCATCTACATCACTCGCCACTTCATCCACTCCGCTCTCCTCTCCAACACCACCACTCTCCTCTCCAACAACACCACTCTCCTTTCCAACACCACCACTCACCATTTCATCCACACCACTACAGTTCTCATGTGCCGCTATCTTTCCACAAGCACTTATTGCTTCATCTTCATCATCCACCTGGGAACTCATGTCTCCAGCTGCCAGGCTACCAGCACCACAACACTTTTTCTGCTTGGCACACCTAGCGCTACTCACCTGTTGGCTGGCAAGATTCCTCCTAACCTCCGCACTACTCACCTGTTGGACAGGACAACTCGCCAGATGCTCCAGAGATTGACTCAAGTGCTCCTGACTAATAGCCACTGATTCATAATCAGTGCACTCTGAAGATATAATATATTTCTTAACTTTGGTTGCATTGATTATTCTGCCCACAACGTCGCTATTAATGTTCTCAGTTTTGTACGAGGTCTTTTTACAGGCACTCATGTCATCACCACCGACCTCATCAGCGCTACCCTGTGGTGAACAACATACTCCTGCTGCTGAGGATGACGCATCACCGTCATTTTTTTTGCTAACAATCAAAGTAGTCTCAAAATCGACACGATCCTCTTCACTATCCCCACCAAGAACCTTACTAGGAGGATCTTCACCTTCACCACTGTGGGCAAGTGTTCCACCTACTGCTACTACAGACGACGCTTCTGAATCAGAATCACTAGATGTCTCAGATTCGCTTTCAGAATCAGAACTTGAGGAGTCAGAATCTAGGCTCGAGTCATCAGATTCATCATTAGTCAGAGCAGATGGTACTGCTTCAACAGGGTTCTCACGAGAGGAAGAAACAAATTCAATTTGTTTGTTAGACTCGTTGTCATGGGCGTTTTCGACACACGCAGAATTCGGGTATATAGTTTCTTTCAACATCGACTCGTCTGACTTGAGACCTTCTGCAATTTCTTTCTCCGAACGAACAATTATTCCTTTTGAACATGAAAGCAAAGCTACATTACCTTGTATTTTGTTGTTCTCTGATGGGGATAAATGCCTTAGAGAACAATTTTCATCATTGCAAGTGCCTAATAAATCGTACGGGCAGACAGAATCAGAATCATCACATTGCGCCAAGGGAGCCGTCTTCCGGGTTGCGTTTTGTTTCATCTTCACCAGTAGCCGGTTTCGGAGCTCACTCTCATTAAGCAATTGAAGTTTAGGAGCAGCTTCTTTAGCAGAAGAAATAGGGGCTAATACCGTATGAGTATCGTTGCTTGCAGGGCTCCTTTGAGGATTGGCACAAGGTCGATTGTCCAGCTTGAAATTTGACGATCGCACTCTAGGTTTGACGGGCATCATCTTGCTCTTGTCAACCCTCACACCTGTCGTACGAAGAACGTTGGCTTTTGAAGACCCTACAGATATTGTTGATTTTGCACTAATACTTGTCACATTGGAATGGCCGTCCGCTGAACGCGTCCATGTTTTGTGCCGCTTAGACGGGCCGCCAGCCACGCCGCCAGCCACGCCGCTGGCCAGTCGTTTGATCGCTGGGGAGCCCGAGGACGCCTCACTGCCGCTACCAGCACCCAAGCGATAATCGGATCCCCAAATCTGCAGGCGCAATAATTGCATTAGCGATTAATAATGGATTAATTCCTCAAAAAGCATGTCTAGTATTCTGCAAGGAACATGTTTGTGGCGGATGGATGTTTGAACATGGATGCTTATCTAACGTATTCCTTTAAATTAACTCCTTCCTCTCTTTGAATAAGCTCCTTTATATTCACGTACTCAATTAAATGTACAGCTAACATACAAATGACCAGTTATTCAAGCAGATAAGGCGAAACTGACAAGTCACATCGCCCACAATGTACACAAACAAGGCAAATACTACGAACTACGAAAAATTTCCACAAGGAAATTAGAAATGAATAGCTTTCTTTTAAGTAAGGTATTCAATTTCCTTGCATACAATTCACACAAGACATAATTGAACAAGCTTTGCTGGGAGGGCAAACTTGCTACTAGCAACGGACTTCTTTTCCAAGCTGTTGTGCAGTGTGACGCAGGCGCTGCAACGTCAAGGTGTCGGCGGCTGCCCGAGTTTTGAGGGACGTCAGGCGTTGGCAGGCGCGGTAGTGCTGGCTCGACTTCGCCTGCGCGGAGGGACAAGCGACAGGACGTATTTGAGCGTAGGAAACTCTAATGACTCGTGTCTTTATAAGTGACCTTTGGTCATTAAATTGGCCAAATGTTTTCAAGTCTAACGAAAGAAATTGCAATCTAAAAGAGGTGAAGTTAAACAAAAGCTTAAGGTTCCCATAATGACCCTGTAGTATCAGTGTAATACTAACCCTGTAGTGAGACTCTGCGGTCGCCAGTTGTGCCCTGAGGGCGTCCAGGGAGCGGCGCAGCGCCTGGCGTTCCTGGTCGACGCTGCTCACGGCGGCCGCTTGCTGCCGTACCTCCGCCTCCAGACTCTCCAGATTGCAGCTGTGGTATTCATGTAGGATATTTATTACGACAAACCTAAAATAAGTAAAAATAGCTTCAGTCCCACACGGGACTGTACTATCAAAACTCGCTCAAGTGCACGTAGCAGCCAATTTCATGTCAGTGATTGATGAATTTAGCACGAAAAGCCGTCAGTGATTGGCTGGCAAAGTTACAAACTTTGAACTATTTTTCATACAACGGTCCCAGCAACTGAAAAAAAATACCTATAGGGTTTCATTTGCATACGGCGATTCTGCTAACTGAATTTCTTTCAATTAATGATAACATATGCGGTGTCAAGTTGGCTCATAAAGTAAGCCTAAGTCCACTAAATAATGAATAGAACTACAATACCTAACATCAATCATATAACCAGTTGCATCGCCACCGCACAGGTTGCGGTGCATCACCGAGCTCACCTTCGTTTAGAGATGAGCTGCTCGTAATTGCCCAGCGTCTTGAGCCTCCCCACACGGCGCTCCTCTTCAACTGCTGAGCACCCACACCCCGGAGACCCGCCTTTGGGGGCCACTTCAGTAGGAGCTGTGGCAGGCAATGGGCGTGGCCCGTCCACTCCAGCCTTCAATGGTATACTCGTAGTGTCTGACTCGACGGCAAAAGGAGCATGCTGAGCATTTCCAGCAGCTGTCGCATCTTCAAAATTTACTTTAGTAGATTCGAAACTATTAGAAGTTAGAATTGGCTTTATAGTGTCAGGAACACATTGCTCCGAGTGAACCATTTCCACACATGAAACATTTTCTATCGCAACGTCACATCCAATATGATTGGGAACCTCTTCTCCGTCATTTGTCGTCGCTGATTTGATGCACATGGTCTGCTCAGCATCCGAATTCGGCACCTCTTTATTATGGGATTCATTGCCATCAGGTTGGCTTTTGCTCGTTTCAATGTGGATAATAGATTGTTTAAAGCCTGCATTGGTTGTGCAAATTTGATTAAATTCTCCATTTGAGGTTTTATTTTCATTGATCGCTGTACATGAAAGGACAATTTCAGGTTCAGAGATTACGGGTTTGCTGAACTGAGCTGAGGTTTCTAGCAAAGAACGGTTGTGATCAGGCTTCGGTTCAGGCGATGTCGTTGGAAGTTTCAAGACATGAGTTATGGCCGCCTCATCACATTCATCACACGACTTATCTTGAACTTCTACGCTTTTTATTGGGTCGAAAATTAGATTAAATAGATTGTTTTCAGTTTTCTGTGGATTTTCAGTCAATCCTTGTTCATCGGAGCAAGTATTCGGTAATGGATGCAGATGGCAGTTAGATGGCACACCCTCCCGCGATTCTAACGAACTTGTGGAAAATGAACCATCGGGTAAGAACTGCGGAGCCTGAGGAGGCTCACAGGCAAGCTGTAGAGAGCCTGTAGAGTTTTCATCAGCCACTGCATTTTCCTGTTCTTTTTCAGAATCAGAATCGGCGGAGCTCGAATCGCTGGCATGTGTAGAATCAGTGTCACTGCTATCAGAATTGCGAGATGAAGACTCTGAAGCTGAGCTATAATTGGCAGCAATTTCATTCTCAGCTGGGCAAAGATTGTTCAAATTATTAGTTGAATTTCTTACTTCCTTCAAATAATTTGTAACTTTATCAGCAATTGATTGCATCGCATCATCATCAGAATATAAACTGGTTCCATACGATTCCGTCTGGTTACTAACAGCAGTTGGACCGAAATTATACGTAGGACCTTTACCGATCACTAGTCGGAGATCCTCGGAGAAATAATGCTCATCGAGTTGTTTTTGATGGCCATTTCGGGCACGGTTGGCCAGTAATATATTACGCAAGTCTTCTTCACTCTCAGTTTCCACTGCAGCTACGTTGCATGTTGGAATTTGCGAGTATCCTGGTTGGAAGCTTTGTCTCTCGTCAATATCGGTGTCTTTGAAGAGGTCATCATAGGTAACTCTAGGTCTCACCGAGTGGCTCGCGTCACTTCGGCTTTCTCCTACACGCATGTCCATTGTTTCTGACGTCTGTAGGGGTACCGTGTTCACTAGCTCAGGTTGTAGTTCCTCATTAGCAAGAACAGGAGGATCAGCACTTGCGCCGCGGCAATTCGCTGTATCAGCCTGAATGCCGTCAATGGAGGCATCCGAAGCTGTGGAAGATGGGCCTTGCTCATTTAGCTTTACTTTAGTTCTTAATTGCCGGCTAAGCTTCAGCTTTTTGGCCTTGGCAATTTCTTGTAGCCGAAGCTTCATGCGGCGGTACTCGACTTGAGAAGATCTGCTTAAATGCTGAATAGCCTGCATTGAAAATAAAGGGTTAAATCTACACTCAAATCGGTAAAAATTTGTCACAATGGCTCAGAGGTTTCATTGGTAGACGAAAATATTTAAAGAAAACATATTTCATAATCATAATACGAGCAATAAACCATTAACTAAAGAATGTTTGAAAAATTTAGAAATAGTTCAATTATTTTATCGAAAAGTCTTACCTCGGGATATAAATTATCAGGAGACACGGGAATACTGGCATTTGCGGTAGTTTGGGCTCGTTCTTGACCGCGATTTGAGCTTTCTTGCGAAAATTCAGCTCGTTCCTCACTGAAATTAGGTGAAGAAATTCCAGACCTGCGCAGGCGACCGCCAGTAACTGCAGTCATGGTTGAATCAGAAGAATCTGAGTCTGACTCACTGTCCAGGTTGATGATGATCGGTTTAGGGTACTTGAATACATTCTTGGTTTCGACCACGTTATTTCTCAATGAAAAGTCGGGCTTGGAATTAGCTTCTGCATTTAATATTGTAGCCTGAGACTGATCGATTTGGTCCTCGCAAGACATTATTGGAGCGTCATGAGCCAAATCTCTGGCTGGGATAGTCCTGGCAGATTCATCGAATAAAGGCTGCTTGATAAGCATTGCATGGAGTAATTGATTTCTTAACAAAATCTCGTCCTCTTCAGAACCACTTGGCAATTTATGCGCAACCGTTGTGGATGAAGAAGCATCATGTTTGGCGTCTCTCAATGGTCTTGGCAGCAACGCTCCTTTTTTTGACCTTCTACTTCTTTTCCTTTGAACATTCATAGGAATTTTATTTTTGTCCAGTTTGATATGAATCAGATTACTTGTGTTTGACTTGGTCGGCTTCGTTACAGCATCCATGAATACTTCTCTATTGCGGGCATTTGCTAGCGACAGCATATGCGCATAATTTGCTGGCATACTCTTCGAAATATCATCTGCATCAACTGACGTCTGCGAGGAAACAAGCGCCGGTTCAGTGCCTTCCTGACCTGAAAACGAAGAGGCAAGCTTCTCTGACCATCCACTGGTGAACACAGCAGAAGAATACGGATAATTTTCATCTGAAATTATGCCCTGCGTAGTGGCTCCAAGGGCTCGATAAGCTTCGAAATTGTATCCTTGAACGGACAATTCCATAGCCTGTTTGCAAAGGTTTTGTTCATAGCTGAAGTTCTTGAAACTGTTCAAGTCGTTGGTCTGGTGAGCAGCGGCTGGGGGAGGCATCATGTATGCCAATTCAACAGGAAATGAAAAGTTTTCCTTCTCATTTCTCGCTTCCAAGTTACTCTCCTCTTCAGCATCTGAGTCACATATATCCATATCCACGGGGTTTTCATTTGTATCCGACATTACTAGAGTTGTCTCCTCGGAATTCTGTGAAGCATGTTGGTCCCCTACCGTGCGATTTTCTAGTGTTGAAGTTAAGATTTTGGACTTCTTGACACCATCTTTATCCAGTGAGTGTACAACAGATTCAAGGGCAATTTTTCGTAGCAAAAGTTCTTCTTCCTCTCGCTCGGCACTCGTCATACAGTCATCATCAGAATCTGTATTGCTCGTGGATAAGCAGCCCTTGGTGGATGGTTTCACAATGACTTTTTCAACAAAATGCTTAGGATGATTTTTAAGCAGAAGCTCAGCTAGAGTGCCAGGATGTGGCATTTTTTCAAGCGATTGTACCAGCTGGAGGGAACTATCAAGTTTAGATCTTTTCCGTTTCCTGCTTAGCCCAGAAGAGTTTCTTTTCTTTCTAAGATGAAAATCATCCTGAGATGTAGACCTCTTGCGTCTCTTAACCTTCTTGCTTCTATTTTTCCGTTCTAATGAAGACAAGGACTTGCCAGTTTCATTCGAGTTCTTTTTAACCTCAATAAGAAACTTCGACTGACTCAATTTTTCCTTTAATGTTGTTGATTCTTTGCTATACGCGCAGTTCAAGCTTGGCACAGGTGCTGGAGGAGGAGTCAGTTTTGGGGAAAGTTCTCCGTCTTCTGCAGAACTCTGAGCATCAACTTCATAGACGCTGTCATCATTCAAAGTTATGATCTCGGGCTCCCTTGTCACAGGGACTGCTTCTATGAAGTCGATGTCCGTGTCACTGTCATTAGCAGACTTGTGAATCGGAGATTCCTTACGCCTTGCATCTAGTTCCTTCAAATTTGAAGGAGACAAAAGGCTTTGGAAAGTTTGGGATTGGTTGGAATAAAATCTTTTTTGCACATCTCCAAATAACAGCAGGTTGTTCAATGGATGTAGATCTCTTTCACTACTCTCAGATGAGCGAGATGAAGCAGCAAACATTTCTGGGTTAGGCAAAGATTCAGAATAGGACTGAGGGTTTGACCCAAAAACCTCTTGAGGATAATTGGAAGATTGAGTAAATACTTGTTGATGTTGTGTAGGAATAGAAGATGGCGAAGCGCCACGCCAGACAGCACCATCGTGACTCTGAGATGAAGGCACAGACGTTCTATGGCGCCATAAAGAAGTATTTCTTGGCGGCTGAACATTCGATCGAAATGTTGCTCTTTGACTTTGAGAATGCGATTCTGAGTGCCACATATGGTTGGACTGTGACAAATGATTTGACCTGAATAATGCACTTTCTGATCGGTCATGATATGCCGAATTTTGCACTGGAAAACTGTCTTTATGATCAGACATTCCAATGAAATTTTTAACATTTTCCACACAGCATAAAACTTCAGGATCAACTTGTCTTGTATTTTGAGAGTCTCTGTAATCTATATGCTTTAGATTGCTTATAGGCGAATCACTAGTTGGAACATCCAAAGTAAACCAATCAGAAGGTGCATCACAGTATGCATTGTGAGGTGGGGAGGGAGCTGGCTGTGAAGCAGGCAATCCAGGCACACATGCCCGACGTACAGAAGAAGCAGGACCGCTAACTAAATCTCGCATGGCTTCAACCTGATTTTCAAGTTTTGGAAACCTATTACCAATACTAAGCTCCTCAGCACCACAATCTGCAATTTAATAAGAAAGGCCATTAAACATGAGAGCAATGCCACAAAAAAAAAAAAAAAAA